CAGCAGGAAATGCAGAGTCAGCACCCTGGAAAGTAACAAGAAGGTCCTCTGGTCTCTTCTAAGGCACTGCTGAAGGGCTCCTCAGGGAACCAAGCTCTGAAACGCCAACTAAAGCTTCCCCAAAACTTTGCAGTAAGCAGGACTAGACTCCATTAGTGCTATATGGGCCTTGCATTATACTCACCGAGCTTCCAGATGGGCTCTGAATTCAAGCAGTCTTGCAGAGCAGTGAAGGCCCTTGCAGCAGCAGAAGGGCTCAGGGTAAGAAGTCTGCCTCAGAAACCAAAGCCCTCACTCTTACAGAAGGCTGCAGATTTAACATACCTTCCTCACAGAGTTAGCGCTGCTCTGATCTCAAAACACCACACCAAGCATCTTGACCAGTGGCTGGGTCTCATGTTGATCTTTCTCATACTTACCTATCCTGCGATCACCTTGCCCATTCTTTCATCCATTCTGTAAGTTTCATATAGTGTCCTCCTGTCCCAACACTCTCTCATGTGACCGAGAGAAAAGGCTCAGTAACCTCATGATGCTCAAAATTCTTATTTCCACAGATACTTACTAACACAGTTGGGAACTCAGGTCCACTTTGAAAGTAACTGGATGTGGCATTTGCAACCCCTCTAGAAAAACCATTTTGAGGGAGAACTGCATCCAACTTCATGGTGAACACATGAGTAAGCTTCTTTTACCTTTAGCACCATCAGGTCATCAAAGCTGCAGTCCACAATGAGGCGAAGTGTACTAGGAACAGCTTCCCTTCGCATACGCTTTTTGTCATTCCCTTCATTTCTGGAGTCCAATTTTGACTGATGTTCTAGTTTTCTCTTCTGTCGTTTTTCTTTTCGTTTCTGCCTAAAGAAACAAACGTGTTTTCAAAAAGTGATGCTAAATCTGCTGAGTTATGTGTCATGCACATAAATGCATACTTCTATGGTCAAGGTGGTTGTTCTATGTCTGTAGTAGTTTAAACTTATAGTGTTGCTTGCATCTGTGCTGAGCTGATACCAGCATGAAGCATATACCATGTCTTTGTGAAGTTCTGTATACACCTTCAAAGACAGACAACTGACAAAAATTTGATGAAGTCAATAGAGTCTCATGGATTTAGGAGCTCTCCGAGTCAGGTCTCATAACAGACTGCCAAAATTGCAGCATCAGAATGTGGAAGGCAATGTACCTCCTACTTCACTGAAGAGTTTTTCAGAAGGCCTCTGAAGCAATTGTTTCTTCCCCCTGTTCTCTCAATGGGAGCAGGCAGTTGGGGGATCAAATTTCAGAGAGAGCAACTTTAACAGGTACTGTTTCAGAAGAAACACTTTGCATTCGGTAGAAGGATAGACCACAATCAGCCCATTTGCGGATACAATTTCTCTCAACAACAGAACAATACAGAAGCTCACCATCTTCCAAAATTATTTTAACAGATTATAAGTCAACATAACTTACAGCACAGCATTTCATATGACAAAAGAATTTTTTTATTCACTTTGTAAGATTCACCAAGTCTGACAGCACCAGGGAAAGAAGGTGCAGCCCATTCAGAAAGGAAAAAGATCACATATTATTTCTCCCTTCTGAGAAGCCAAAAACATGCAAATTTGAATCCGTCCTGATATCCTCTTCAAGTTGAGGAACACTTCTAGTATGAAGAGAGGATGCTTACCTTTATAGCTTCTTCGTATGAGGATGGAGTAGCCTGTGACTACTGCTGTTAACCTGGCATGGGAGAAAACTGGTTCAACTGCCTTGGTTTGCTAAAGCAATTTATATGCAAATTCTGCTGACACATCGTTATTATTAGCACCAAACACTACACATGACCCTAGAAAAACCATTCTGCAACCCATACCTTCGTAGATCTTTCTGTTCTTCCCACTGTTTCTGCTTCAATAGCTTCTTCCTTTGCCTCTTGGACATGGGCTCAAGGCATTCTTCCTTGTCTGAGCCTGCCCCCCATCTCTCAACTGGACTGTCACTTGACTTCACCTTTCCTTCCACAACAGAAACTTCAGGGGACATGGTATTTTCCATTGGTATCTCTGGACTCTCTGTTGGTGTTTCTGATGACGTTAGCTTTTGGCCAGGTTAACTGACTTGCTTCTCAACACGTGACAAATATTTCATCAAAAGGAAGCTTTTCCCTCACCAGTTCTGCAAGAAACAAAACAACAGCACGAGTGCTATTAACAAGAAATTCAATTAGATCAATATCACTCTACACCTACCATAAACCTAAAAAAAAAGAAAAAATAGCAAGAGATGGCCTTTTTTTGTTTAAAGCTAGGTCAGTGCCTCTGCAAACAGTAACATATAAAATACTACCAAGATTATAACCTTTATTCAGATAATGTCTAAAACTATCTGCTATATTTGCAGCTACTCAACAGTTTCCAAATAGAAGCTTTCTGAAAAAATAACTGAATAAAAGCAAGGAATCATTACGGATTAAAAGGTAAAAGAAAAACCATTATCAGTACTATTATGTGTGCACAAATTATTCTCAAGTACACAAACAGGAAAAATTGAAGAGGTATATTGCAATATAACTATGGCAGCATGTTAAAATATCATCCTAAAGACACTAAAGCCATTTTAGAGGGAAAAATTTGTGAACAAGCTGTACACTGTTAAAATTAATTTTTAATTTTTCTGAGAAACAAAGACACTGACCAACCACCAACACTGGCCGCTCAGTGAACAAAACGCAGCAAGTTCAGGGATGAACAGACTCAGCTCTTACTCAGCAAAACGTTCTGCATTCAAATCAATCACAATTATACCCTCTCTTTTTCAATGGCGAATACCATTTTTCCATACTAGTAGCTGCCCTGTGCTCAAAGGCCACATCCCCCAGCGTCTGCATCCCCCACAGCGCGCAGGGCCCGCAGAGTGCACACAGGCACATACACATATACACACGTACACCACCTATACACGCATTACACAGAGAAACACACGCCATATTCCTGCCCACGCGCCCAAGTACCTCACAGCGCGAGAGGACCGCTCACACGGCTGACAAGGGCCCGGGGGAGGCCGTGACCCCACGCAGGCGGCAGAGTTGGGGGGGGAGGGGGGGAGTGTGACGCTCCCCAGTGCGGTTGGGAGGCCGCCATTTCCCCCTCCCTCTGAGGAAACCCGACCCCGAATCCCAGCTTGTCCCCCCCTAAACCCCCACCACCAAGGGCTAACGGAAGACGGAGAAGGAAGAAGGCGACTGTAACATTACCCACAAGACCAGACTGAAGAAC